TGTGTACACACACACACACACACACACACACACACACACACACACACACATAAGTATGTCCTGGGGTTTAGAGATATGCATTAGAGATACGTGCCTCTTCCCTCATCTCTCACCCAAACTCTACCTTCTCACCTGTTATTTTTTCCAATAGAGAAACATCTTGTACTTCCTGGGGCAAAGAAGCAATTTTCTGACGGACAGTAGCATCCCCTGATGCAGCATTTTCGAGGTCCTGTAAAGCTTTGATTAGTTCTTCAGTCTACACAATAAAACACAAACAATACTATTCATTAAGACACATGGCATTTAAAGAAAATTAGTTGGAGTTAAATGAGGTAGAGGCAAATTCTAAGAATGAACATTCCTGACATCTGAAAAAACATTGTTCTTAATCCTGGAGCTTATACCAAAGTCAATGATATGGATTCTAAGAGAATGTACAAAGTTAATTTTTCTAACTCCAAGGCAGAACACGAATAAAGTCTACATAATTCTTTAAAAGAGTTTTTTGAAAAGAGCATGTTTTTGACAACATAAAAAAATGGAGTCTGGTTCATATTGCTTAGTGTCAAATGATGCACGATTTCTAGTACAGAATGGTTTTCAGTATAAAGGTATATATGTCAGATGTTTAACAACTGTGTATTGACTGACTGAAATGACACTACCTACTTTAATTCTTTCTTTGATCGGCTTGACAAAATGAATGTAAAAAACATGACATTTTCGATTTTGGCAACCACTCCCAAAATTAAATGTGTCAACTCATTAATTACAAACAAAAGGGGAAAAAAAAAAAGCGCAAACCAAGAATTCATAGTCTGTATACACCAAAAAGGGTTTTTAAATTATCAGCAAACACAGCAAACTGATAGGGGGCAGTCCATGAAGACCCAGAAGTAACTGACGATGTAGATGGTAGTCAGGTTATCCTGAAAGTTGATAATTCAGGCTGTTCTCATGAAAGTTTTTAAACTCAAAGATATATAGCTTAACACTGTTCTCATTTAACCACAGTCTAATTCAACATTTTAACATAATGCAACTCACATGCTTCCTATTTACAAAGCCCTTTAACACACCCATGTATAAGAAAATCTGTTTTGGGTAAAATGAGAAGCAGTGTAACTCAGTGAGAAGAGCATGGGCTCTGTAGTCAGAGCCAGATTCAAATTAAGACACTGGGTGAGTTGCTAAATCTGCCTTCTTGAGCTTCACTTTCTTTGACTATAGATATGTAGGTAGGTAGACAGACAGACATAAAGACAAAATGAACCAATCACACAGTTCATGAGCTAACAATCCAAATATGTGATTAACAACTCAGTAAACACTAGCTCCCTGTTTTAATATTTAAATAGGTTATAGTGAAGCAAACCTGCTTCTGCCACAAAGGCTATCCTTAGAAACTAAAGAGCTGTTTACTTATAAAAATCAACCATGCTACTGGAGACATGCCATGGCAGAGGCCTTCTGAATGTCTCGGCAACATTATCTACCCTTTTCATAAAAATCCATTTTTTAAGAATATTTTCAATTTCTAGGAGTGAAGTAAAGCCAAATCCACGTACACTATAAAACATAAATCCATACCAGAGTCCTGGCATGCAAAGACAAATGTCAAGCCTACTGTCTTGCAAGCGTCACTGGATGGATCTTGAGCCCAGTGCCCAGAGCTACCCTCCAGCGATTCCATACTATTGGTCACCGGCGCCACCTTGTGGCCATCATCTCCAACCAGAGGTCACTTCAAACCACTCTGTATGCCCTACCCTGGGGGTCAAGACATACCAAGAGGGGTCCTGCAGAAGGATCTTGGGGAGAGTAGCTTCCAGGGTAGTCGTCATCTTCCTCCTCTTGTATCTGTTGAAAAGTCCGCTTCAGAGATTTCTTCTCCTCTGTTGCTAGAGGAAAGAAAAAAGTGACAAATTTGAGTCACCATAGTCTGTGTACACCAAATGCTATGCACAATGGATCACACGTAAAAAAGGGCAGGAGGGGGGGCATTTCCAGAGATAGCTAAACATTAACCTTTACGCCAGTTGTTTTAAATTGGTCATGGTCTTACACTACTGAAGAGTCAAAAGGCCTCAGGCTGTCATCTCGGATTGACTCACTGAAAAACTACTACTGAAAACAAGAATTTAAAAGTGAAACTTATCGAACACATTTCATTAAAAACCTCCATATCTTAAAAAAAAAAAAAAGTTAATGGGAGAAATAAAATGGTAAGAAACCCATCAGACAATATAATGAAGCAAGCCAATGTATGCAAGGGTTTAAGGGGATATGCTGCATATGAGATTCTTTATGTTTTCCAGGGTAAGTTCAGAAAACAGTAAAGAGAAAGTCATCAATATAACTGTCAAAAACTCTAAACACAAATATGCTTTAAATTATCCCTTTAAAAACAAAATTTTACCTTAAAAATAACCATTATTGAGAAATATGATTGCTATCACTGAGAGATATTACTTAAGTTTCCATTTTAAAATTAACTACTTTGAGGCTAATAGGTTACATTTTTAATTATCTGTACTGTATGCTTTTAAACTATTATGATCGATGTGTAAATTCCAAAATCACTTTTTTTTGCATCCAATTGAACAATACAAAATAAATGCCAAAAATCTGTGGGATATCAATCTAAATGATAAACTTAGATATGGAAAGTAAAGGAACCACTGGACACCCAGTGTGCCAGGCATTGCAATAATTTAATCCTCCCAACAATTCTAAGATGTAATATTTCCATTTTACAGGAGAGAAAATGAAGACCAGAGAAGTTTAATTTATTTAAAGATAGGACTGCAAAATCTGTGCTCTTTCCACTACAAATTATTGAGCACCTGTCAAGAAGAGGCCACTATGCACCTGCCTCAGAACTCTGTGAGTTATAAAAAGAACGTTCACTTCTTGCTTAATTAAAATTAAACATTTTCTTGTAGAACCAAGGATGTAGTTCCTGTTTTCTACCTGACACATTAACCGACCAAACTACATTTGATGTGAAAGCCAAGTCAGTATTGTGGATTTTATTTTTTCTTAATGTTTTTGTTTGTTCTACTACAAAAACATTTGCAATCTAAGCAATCCTCATTTTGCATAATTTTATTATGCATGAATTTGTTTCCATAGTTTAGTTAAACACAAGTTTCTCAACAATATGGTTCAAATTTGTTACCATGGCATGTTAACTATGAGTAACTGCATAAAGAACACACTTCGCTACTAACTTTAGTCCACAAATTACTATGTAAATAAGAGAAGTGCAACATGATCAGTGACCGCATCACTTCTTTCAAGGTCAGTGATTGGTTATTGCACATCTGTTATTCAGTTCACACGCAGACAGCAAAATGGTGTTGTTGTCTCCCAGGGATAAAATCCACATGACATTTTGTAAAAATGAGTAATCAAAATAAAGAACTGACTGACAAAGATGAAAGAGCAGCAAAGAAACTCAAACTAATGCTGAAAATGAAATCTGAAAGGACTGTCAATGGAGTTGTAGCAGAAACAGCTGTCTGGGGGAATGCTGGCTCTGCCACACCCAACTGGAGATGATCAAGCCGGAGGAACTTAGTGTAGACCAACTTATCAATATAAATGAAAAAAGTGCTGTGATAAAAAGAATGACAACGTCCCAGAGAAAGTGCTGCCGACAAAAAACTTCCTATTAAAGGAACTCTAAGAGACATTTCATGACACTGAAAGCAGAGGATAAAATGTTGGAAGCTGATCTAAACTTACAAAGGAGTATGACAATACACTAAGACAGAAAAGATGCTTGCTCCATATCATAAATTACACATTTTTACAAGCAAGCAATCTAAATTCAAACTACTCTTGGTACATTTGTTAGAAATAAACACGTTAATTCTCCATGTTTCTAACTTTTTATATTATAGAATACTAAATAATTGTTAGTTTTACTGTCTTTTTTGTTTCACTATACAACCGTAACCAACGGTGAGGCTTTAATTCTTTGACAAAAAAATTTAAAGTCACAAAATAGTTGTAAATTTCCCATTGATTATTAAGATCACTTAGCAGTTTCGGCTCGCACGGTCATCTTATACTCCTGCACTACTAGGCAAAGAAAGAACTGCTGATTTTTAAAACAAAATCTATTATGATATAATTTGCATATGAAATATCCAGCAGTACTTTACTCACAGCAGCTCACTAGTTAGTCTGCAGTGAGTTTTATGACCCATGTAGACAGTTAGTCAAGGTGGCCATGTGTGAGGAACAGACACAAAAACATAAGTACAAGAGCAAAACACAAAATATATTTTGTTCACTTCCAAACACCTAGAACGCTCAATAAATAATTGTTAAATACACTAAAGAAGGTAGGAAAAATTATAACTCAAATCATTCAGTTTTCTAAATCTCATACAAAAATTTTTATATAAAAATCACACACTATTAAATACCTCAGGGCACTCAGAATCACTGAATTTTGGCACTGGAAGGCCTTAGATAAACCTATGTCTTTGCTTCTCTCGCCTCATTTTTCATGAGAATAGCAAGGACCACAGGCTGTGGTTTGTCCAAAGTCAGATGGCTCATGAGTCTTAAGTCTGGGTTCTACAGCCAAAGTCATCTGCCTCCTAATTTGGAGTTCCTTTTCCCACCTCAGGCTGCCACTCACTCACAGACTGACACAAAACTGATGCAAATAATTTTAAGGCCATTTCTGTCCTTTGCCATTCTGACGGAAGAGGGTGCACAGGCGGTAACCATTACCATCGTACTTTTCCAGTTCTAGACTACCTCCAAGTGGAGGACCTACTGGAAATGAATTCATCACTTCACCTGTAGGGCTCCTCCTTTCCTGAGCTACCTATTTCCATCATGAATACTTCCACTGGTCACACCTTCCAAGTACAATGCCATGGAGACCACCGGAATCTCTCCAAAGTCCCAACTTCTGGCAGATTCCACACCTCTGAAGAATATTTTACATATCTCCTCTTTCTGCTCTTTCCCATAGCCTCTTACCAGCGCTCTGCTCCTCACCAAGCCTTGTCCAGACCACTGTCCCATGGTCTCTCTACCTCTAGTTGCTCTTCTTCCAACTTAGACAACACTCATTAAATTAACCTTTCTAAAGCTGAGCTCTCACTCCGTCATGCCTCCATTCAAAAACCTGGAATGGCTCCCCAAATGCCAAGCCTGCTCGTGGTCGAAGTAATATCATCTTGAGCACTCCCTCTCTCTCAGTTGTCGTCGTCTCCCTCTAACCCCCACAGTACTTGGCTGTTGCTATTTTGCAAGGCCAGCAGCAGGCAACTGGCCTTACTTCTTTGATAGAAACATTAAGTGTCTTATTCTTTTACATCTCTATAACACATGGGAAACTGTCAACAGACCTGAGTTTGAAACCTCTTGAATATAGAGGAAACACAGAGCTTGGAAACCCTTGGTGCTATGCCAGAAATGACTATCATTGCGTCCCTTTACACAAACAGGACAGCCTGCCCTGGTAACTCTACCCTGACTCATCAGTACAAAGTTAGCGGTTAGGAGGCCCAGTATTCTCAATGTAGTCAAATGGCCATTAAAAATAACCTAGAATACCTGTCAGTCCGATTCCTATGTCTAAATTTAAGGTTAGGCACCCTTCTGCTATCAATCGAGCTTTCGACCAGAGTATTTACACTCCCTTTTTCACTCGAACACTGCTTACAGGTAGTGCAAACACTATGGGTGGCCCAAATCCTATTCTACCCACCAACCTGTCTCTGTGTCTCTAAGAGACCTTATAGTCATCTAGCTTTCAAGTAATCCTGGTCACCTAGGTGTCCCTGGTATGCCTGCTGGAGACCTGAACCGTGGCAGAATTCAGACACTACGGCACACTACGAAATTAATTTTAAGGCAAAAAGTTAGCATGAAGGTTCCCAAATCACATACAAAATGCAGTCATCTACCTATAAAGCTGGATCTTCTAAAGAATGCACTTAAAATTTTCTAGGCTAAAAAATAAAGAACAAAGAAAAACCCCTAGATTTTATATTACTTTTTATAATGAGAAAAGAATCAGAAAATATTGTTTGCAATAGCTCCCTCATTCTTTGTTCCCTCCCTGCAAAATAATAAAAAACAAAATTTAAAATACATTAAACTTTATTCATGGAAAGAAAAAGATCTGTAACAGAGGGCTGACATTTGAGGCACGGCTCTGAAAGCACTTTTCCTTTATCATCTCACTGATCTAAGTGAGCGGCCAGGTCCAGACTGGAACCCGGGGAAGTTGGTCCCAGAGCTTGTGCTCTTAACCACTAGTCTTGCACAAAATCTAAGAAACTAAAAATACTAATAAGTCTCCTCCTACTTTTGCTACTAGTTCATATTTAGAAACTCAAAATATTAGATATTAGAACAGGGGGCAAATAAAAGTCATGTCATCACCCAATTAATAACATCTTACTACATGATCTCAAGTGATCCTCTCAATGGCCCTATGAGGTATTAGTATTAACAATCATAATGTACAATGGAAACATGAGGCTCAGAGAGGTCAAATGCTGTACCCAAGGTCACACAGCCTGGAAGTGAAAGAGCTGGGGTTCATATTCTGGAAGTCTGATTTCAAACTCCTGCTCTGAATAGCTAAACTAACTATACTAAGGTGCAGGAAAATTGGGTGGCCTGCTTATGAATTCATAGTCTAATTCAAATACATTGAATCCATGTGCTTTCAGGTGAAAGTATGGTATAAAGAACACAAGCTTTAAAGTCATATCGATCTGGGTTTGAATTATCCACTTATCAATTATCCCTAACTGGACAAAATTACTATATCCTTTGAGCCTTAGCATCCTCATCTGAAATATAAAAATAATACCAAATTCACAGAGTAGTTATACAGATCTAAAATCAATTAACATGAAAAGCAATCAGCAGAGAGGCTGATACCTAACAGGTGCTCAATAAATGCTATTTCCATTGTATCTGTCTTTCCTTTCTAAATCCCTCTACAACTACAGGACACTGTGTGATTCATGTGTGACTCAACTAAATAATGAAGTTCCATTCAGTTAAACAAAAGCTTGCGTATTCCCATGAAAAGAGAGAAAACTTTAGAATACCTGGGTCTTGCACCTGGGGAGACTGGTATATTAAATTCAAGAAATCTCCAGTTCTAAAATAAGCTCATGCATTCTCCAATGTTAGAAGAACTGTCAAAGTTCCACAGGAAACTCTTAATTTTAAAGATAAATTCTAAGGTTGTCTGAAAACAAAGAATTACCCATGAATCAAGGCTGAAATATAAAAGGACTATTCAAACTTAGAAATAAACTTCTGGAGGAATCAATATTTTGAAAGTACTGTGGTAAGATACTCTGATAACTCAGGTCCAAAGAAGACAGTGAGAAGACAGAATGGGTTAACTGGGACTAATACACATGGTGGAATCTTCCGATTAGGTGTTTTTGTCTTTACAGAATAGAGAAGGAGAAATTATCTTAGATAAGTATTATCCTCCACACAGAGGAATACTGCCTCTATTGCTGTTAATGTCTAGACACTCAAAAAACTGAAAAACCCAATGGAGCTATTTTCAAATCAGGGCCACAAATTCCCAAATTTGTCTGACTGCTCCCTGTGTGTAGAACTATTTCTCATTCCTCTCTCGCTCTTTCCTATAGCACCTAGCAGAGCTGTGTACTCAAAGCACATTTATGGCAAATGCTTGTCAAACTGAAAGTCAGCGCTTAGCTTTAAACATCGTCTTTCAGAGTACTCATACCTACCCAACGGTTGTTTTAAAAAATCAGCAGTTTACCAATGAACTCTAAGGCAGAGTAAAGAATGATAGATAACTCTCCAACACTGTGCAGATACCTCCAAAGGACACAATACAAACACTACCAGAGTAAGAAACATCTTGCTTTTCAGAAGCTACCATCCAGAGTGACCCCAAAATTGTTTTTTTATCAACACCAAGTAAAACAACAATGACTTGCAGTCTGAAAGCACTTATGTCATTCTTAGAGAGTCTCTAACCTCTAGTTTCATAGGAAAGTTACCCCACTGTAAAATGCATATAAACTCAGACCTGAACGAGACCATGGAAAGTACACAATAAAAGACTGCCGAATGAATGCTATTATCGTGCATACTCATCATGGTTGTGTTCTACAGCGAAGACATAAATGAGTACCAGAGGAACATGGAGAGAATGGCTACATGTGCCCAGACGAGCTAGAGATGTCAGGACGTAGCATTCTTGAAGAATGACTTCACCACACAGTGAAAGGAATGAAAGGATATTTTAGGCAGAGGTAATATCAGATGCAAAGAAAGGGGCACCAACAGAGCATCCAGGGGGGAAATTGTTGGGTATGGCCAAAGAATATGGTATATGCGAGGGAATGGCAGAAGATCTGAAAAAGTAAACTAGTCCATATCACAAAGAGTCTTAAATACTATGTTAGTACTTGGACTTAATCTTTTAGGCAATGAGTACATGTGCAGTCAGATCAGATCTGTATCTCAGAAACATATCATGCCAATTAGAATTAAACACAACTACCTGAAACCTATATAACTTTATTAACCAATGTCACCCCAATACATTTAATGAAAAATAAAATAAATGAATAAATAAAATGCCCTCCCTCCCCCGCAAAATTAAACACAACTAGAAGTCAAAGAACCAAATGATGTTTGGTCTTACTTCTCTTTAAAGAAAAAAAATAATATAAGCTATTAAAGACTTGGTGAAATTCACAAACATATATGTACACACTTCCCAAAGATATTCTGAGTTCAGCCCCAAATCAATTTTAGACAGCAAGCTGACGATCATCAAAAGTATGGTACAAAACCACATCAATATTTAATGAAACCAAGATCTGAAAAGGCTAAGGGACTTAGCCACGATCCTACAGTAATTAGTGGCAGGGCTAGGACAAACTCTTAATCCAGGGTACTTCCTAGTTCCCCACAACTCTAAACAACTTTGTTGTTCTTTTCCCTTGTGCAAAGAAAGTCTCTGAAAGGCAGAAGAGAGCCAAGGAGAATACAGAGCAGAAGTTAAGGTATGAGATGATGAATAGCATGAACACTAGAACCAGGCTTACACGCTGCGAGCACTACATAAATTCTCACCATCATTTATGATCATCTCTCTCTGAAGAATCATATAATCGCTGGTGGTTCACAGCAACCCCCACTGCAGCTTTTCATATTTGATTCGAAAGTAGGCAAAGACCAAGAGCTGTAAACATGTGGTGATGTTTCTACCTTTGGGGGGAGGGCTCTTGGAGTCCTCCATAGACAGCTTCAGTTGCTGTATGAACTCGCCGCCATACACACTTCTTTCTTGCCAGATGTTCAGCAATCTTTCTAAAGGTTTTTTACAGCCTTCATCTGCCTCTCTGCCCAGAAAAGACGAAAAGATATATAAGCTTAAGATTTTTTGTTTTTAATTAGGACAGATCTACTTTAAAAAAAAAAAAATCAACAACTGACTAAATGATTTACACATTTAAAAACAGAAGGAAGAGTAAGGTACATATTGTGAGAAATGGAACTCGACCAAAAACTACATTCTTCCTGTGGTGCACAGGGAAGAGACATGTTATAGAAGTAATCTGTGTCTTTTATTCCCTTTGAAAGATGGGGCGATTAGGGCGAAAAGCCAATGGCTGATTTTTACAGACAGAATTATCAAAAACTGACCCTATCAATTGTGACAAACATCAAAAGTTTGCTTTTTAAGAAGACATTAATTAAAATCTAGTACCAGACATTCTGCTGGAAATTAAAGTGGGCCAAAACTTTTAGGGGCAGAAAAAAAAATTTTTTTTAACAGGGAATAAATTCACTACAACTCATCAATGCTAACACACTAACACCTCTACATGTATAAATACAATTGTATACACGTATATGCCAAGATTGATCTCAACTTTAAATTAACTACTTCGTAATTATTTTAATTCTGGGCTAGGTCTGTCTTCCATGTTCACACAAAGATGTCTAATAGATAATCTTACAACACACTGAGCATAATACAGTCCTTACTAATTTAGACAGTTTTTTTCCCCTGAGATATTACACTCTTCAAACAATATTTTTCAACGAGGTGACTATAACTGCAACTCAGCATGAACCAATGGCTTCCCTAAAATGTCAGACAGCAAGTGGAAGAGTGGGGGAAGACTTCCTGAGAGGAAAACAAGTTCCCTCACCATGTACTTGTTACTGTGAATTTTTCTGATTTGTAAAGCTGGATGTCACTGATCTTATACTGAGTGACTTCAAACAACAAGGGGTACCCTGACATCTTAGTATCTAAGTCAATACTTTTAATTGGAACTTCAAGAAGAAACCATCCTAAATCAACTTAGATGGGAATTTCATCTACCCTTAGTCCTGACAGCACTTTTCTAAAACTTATGTTAACATTCAAGGTGAGATGAGGTTTTGGCCTAATCTGGTCAGACTATGTTACTTATAAGTTATTAGTGGCAAATTTCACCAAACTGGGGTTTAAGTACTAAATCACGGTACATATAAATTAATTTTTTGTTGTTATTAAACCTTTTCCTTTGGTGAGAGGTTAGGGTGAGGGGAAAAAAAATTCTACTAATAGTTTATTAAACACAAAGATATGACCTAATTATTTGTGATAAAACACTTTTACTTCATCTTCAAAATATACCTAGAGACAAATTACTTCTCACTTCTGGAAATTACTTCTGCCCTTGTGGAAATACATCAAATGGGAAGTATGTAAACAGCATGTAAACTACATAGTTTATCAGAAGATAAGTTGTGTGGAGAAAAATTGAGTAAGAGTAGAGTGTAAATAGGAACATTAGGGAAATACTCACTGAAAAGGTGCTGTGTGAGTAAATACAGACCTGGAAGAGGAAAGCAAATGAGCCTTGCCATACCTGGGGAAATGTGGTTCCAGGCAAAGTGAACTTCAAGTGGAAAGGCCCTGAGGCATGAGTGCCATAGTAGCTGTTTAGGGGGTGGGGAGAAGGTGAGGCCAGAGAAATAATGGACTGGGTAGAGAATGGCTTCGTAGACCTTAAAAAGACTTTTACTTTTATTCTGAAGGAGAATGGGAGGAACTGGATAGCAGAGGTGCTATCAGCCTGGTCCAGACAACTATCATCTTTTGCCTGATTACGACAATAACCTCATTGCTGGTCTCTTTGCTTCCACCCCTGTTCTCCTATAATCTATCCTAAAGCTTTAAAAATATAATTCTAGCTCTTGTGTAAAGGCAGATCATGTCACTCTTTTGCTCAAAACTTCCAGTTCCTCCCATTCTCCTTCAGAATAGAAGTAAAAGTCTTTTTAAGGCCTACGAAGCCATTCTCTACCCAGTCCATTATTTCTCTGGCCTCACCTTCTCCCCACCCCCTAAACAGCTACTATGGCACTCATGCCTCAGGGCCTTTCCACTTGAAGTTCACTTTGCCTGGAACCACATTTCCCCAGGTATGGCAAGGCTCATTTGCTTTCCTCTTCCAGGTCTGTATTTACTCACACAGCACCTTTTCAGTGAGTATTTCCCTAATGTTCCTATTTACACTCTACTCTTACTCAATTTTTCTCCACACAACTTATCTTCTGATATACTATGTAGTTTACATGCTGTTTACATACTTCCCATTTGACGTATTTCCACAAGGGCAGCGATCTTTCCCCCGACTGCTATCCACCCTAGAAGCACTGTATTTGGCTAACTGTAATCTTTTTTTTTTTTTTAATTTCAGAAAGGTTTCAGTAAGCCATACAATTATTTAACTTTCGGTAATCATATTACTTACTCTTCAATTCTGTTAGACATCGACTGAGCACTCACCTGCTCATTCGATGAGGTTATGAAATACTATGCTTGGAATACAAAGAATTAAGCCTAGGTCTTGACTTCTAGGGCCTGACCCAGTAGCCCCTCATCTTTCTAAACCTTATCTGGGGCTTCACATTCTACCAACACTCGACCATATGTATTTTCTACCCAGAACTTGCTCCCTCTCTGCATGTGCCTTTGCTCATGCTATCTCCTCCCCTTTGAATGGAATCCCCAAAGTAGAATAAGGTAAAGAAGGAGAAGTTACGAGTGATTAAGGTGGCTTAAGTGTATGGGGAGTGTGCAGAAATAGCAGAAGAATCTCGTGGGACTGACTGAATTAGATTACAGAGGGTCCTGAATGCCTTATTAAGTATGTGGCCTTTATCCTGAAGGCAAAGGAAAGTCTCTTATGTGATCAAATGTATGGTTTAGGAAAAAAAAAAAACACACACACAATCAAATCATAACTAGTCAGATCTTAATTGGTTGGTACTTTTAACACAAAATCTGTTCTCTGCAAATTCTCCCTTCACATAAACTAATCATGACAATCAATTCTTATCTAAGATTTAGTTAAAAGGGAGGTGAGGGCACGAGGGGCACAATACCCAACCACCCACCATCCACCCACCATCCACCCATCACCCCTGGAGATATTTAGGACTCAAGACTAAGACTGAGTTAAGTACAGCTTCGGCCATATTATTATACAGTGGAAACTGATGCTCAAACCTTTTATAACCTAGACATTTTCAAGACTTTCATCACTAAAGACTAAAACCAAAAGGAGGCTCTACTTTAATTGGTGAATGTACTTAACCAGGATAGGCTAATTCTTTGAACACTATAGTAAATAAAGGTCTTGCCAGATAAGTTTCAAAGTTACAGATACAACAGTCAAGAAATCTTTTTACTGATGAGGTTTTGCCATAAGTAGCTCCAACAAACACGATGTCACTTTAGCATCTAGAATTGGATACAACTAAAGCAATAAAGTAGTTTTGTAACAGAAGGAGCTCTTTTCAGGTTGTACTAACTCCATTCTAAACTGAGAAATCTTTTAAATGAAAAAAACACCAAAAGACTGTTTTCCACTCATCCATGAATAAACTAGAAGATGATAATTACATATGTAACTTATTATACTGAATACAATATTTTAACTCTATAAATTTAATCACTGTAAAACTGATCTAAAAAGTGAAAAGTGTCCATTATACACACATGGAACTACTGCTTAGTGTCAGCTAGATACCTGATGCCTTGCCAAGTCATCTTGACGGACCTCTTCTTTCTTTGCAGTTTTTTTCTTTGCAGTTTTAATGGCACTTTCTTGGTACAATCACTCTAATTTCTGTGTTTTTGTCTTATCCTATATGCTGTACAGTAGGTCTACGGCAGCCTCAGAGGAGGAATTCTAAGTATTTCCAATATTTCTAATAGTACCTCACGTACAGCTGGAGTAGAAACATCCCTTTGCAATTGTGCAGAAATGAGTTAACAAAGCAAGCCTGAGATGCCTACCCTGAAAAAGGCCTGCTCACAAGGTTGGCCCTTGACGGGCATCTGGGAACTTGGGTTTCAGGAGTGCTTCTGCCATTTCCTGATAAGGGTGGTTTACTGTGGCTAAACTGTCTGCGAACAATAAAGTTTATACTGAACATATGCTTTGTTTCTGGGAGTCTGGAATTTTGGCAAAGGATGCCTGTGACCAACCCTACTAGAAACCCTGGGCACGGAGTCTCTAATGAGCTTCCCAGGTAGACAGTATTTCATACTTATTGCGATAATTTAATGCTGGAGGCATTAAGTATGTCTTGTATGATGCTACCATGAGAGGACTCTTAGAAACTTATGCCTAGTCTCCTCTGGACCTTGTCCCACACACCTTCTCCCTTTGCTGATTTTGCTTTGTATCCTTTCCCTGTAATGACTCATAGCCATGGGCATAACTATATACTGAGGCAAGTCACCAAACCTGGAAATGGTCTTGGGGAGCCATGACACAACACTAACTCCAAATTTATGTCACCAGAAGCTAATTTCCTACTAAGTTTCAGACTACAGGAATACCTCAGAAATATTGCAGGTTTGGTTCCAGACCTTAACAATAAAGCGAGTTGTAATCTTTGCTAGTGGAGGGTCTTGCCCTCATTTGTAAAAAAGCAACATTTGTGAAGCATAGTAACTCGAAGCATAATAAAACAAGGTGTGCCTGTATTTTATCTATCTGGCATTGCTCCTTGGAATGTCTACTAGCCATCACAAACTTAACATGGCCAAAACAAAACCCTTGATTTCCTCTGCCATATTTTCCCCCAAACCTCATCTCAGTAAAGGGCACAACTAGCTATCTACTTATGTCGAAAGCCAAGAAATAATCTTTCCTTTATCTTTCCCACTAGCTCCCACTCAACTCCCATAAATCCTATCAGTTTTACATGGGGGGTGGGGGGTGGAATCTAACCACGAAGTAAATTAAATGAACAGAAGCTATTATCTTCTCATTGCTTCTGAGTCTTAGCTGATGTCATCTCTAGCTTTTACTAGAGCAATACCCTCCCTGCCCCTCCCTTGGCCCTTATAATCCATTCCCCAAATCAAGCAAAAGGGATCTTTAACAATGTGATGGAATATGTAATTCCCCTGCTTAAAACCCTTCGTGACATCTCATCAGAGCAAAATCCTCTCTTCCAAGGCTTACAAGGAATATGACTGGCATCTGCCTACCTTTCTGATCTTATCTGGATGTTACTTTTCCGTTTGCTCACTGCGTTCTAATCACACTGGCCTTCATTCTGATCCTCTTAACATGCCAAGATTACTTCTACTTGAAGTTCTCAATAGCTGTTCCTACTTCACATGATTACCTCAAATGTCACTTCCTGAAAGAAGCCTTCTTTCACCATGCTAGACGAAATCCCACTCCAGAATGCCATTCTATTTTACATCCACATAATCGCTCTCTGAAAGTATCTTGTTCATTTATTTGTACTTGCTTGCCTTATTCACTGCTGTTCCCTATTGTCTGGATCAGTTCTTGGTACACAGAAGACACTCAAATACATGTTGAATGAAAAATAAGAGGAATAACTATCTTCGAACTGAGAAAACAAGAAGGCAAAAAAGTTCAGGCTGGTTAACTACACTGCTATTCAAATTTAATGTACTCTATGAGCTTGGCAGCTTCCTGACTTAAGAGGTTTGTTTTTTGGGTATTTGGGGGGGTAGGTGAGTGGAGGGACTGAGGGAGAGGGTAGAAAATGATCATGAGATTCCTAATCAATTTTGGTCAATATTAATAGGTAAATTATCTTTGTTCACCAACTGGCTACAGAAAAGCTATACAAAGGGCACTTCTTACTGTTGGTGAAGTGCATGAGGACTGAAGTGGAGTGGCTGGCCTTTCTGTTCTAACAACGGTGGCGGGAGGGTCTTGGAAACACGGAGGTTCCAAATATAACACCCAAAAGGGAGTTAAAAAACTGGAAGGGACGGAGAAAGGGAGGGAGGGAGTGGGAGAAAGGGAGATTAATTAATTAGGGCTATTTTTTTTTTTTTAATAAAAAGGATCAGGTTTATTTTCCCCACATTGCCACAGAATCTGCCAAGACCTTTTTACATTTCCTCCCAGATAGGTTTTAAGATGTTACCAAGTAGAAAAGAAAATTTCAATCCTGGCATTACCCATTAATCTTCTCCCACCCCTTTCTATTTACCCTTTTCTGGTTTGGGGGCAGCTAACGATTATTGTTCAATTTTTAAACAAAAATGTTATATTTACTAACCCTACAGGGAACTATTTTAGTCAATTACCTATCTTCTAAATCAATTAACTTATTCATCAAATATTTACTGAATTGCTCTCTGTGCCAGGGCAGACCACAATGTTGCCCAGCTCCTGGACACCACCAATCACACTGAAGCTACATAAATGGTATTCTCTAAAGCTATGTAACGCAGCAGAGCTGGTGCCAGACATTTCGCTAGGTGCTTGGGATACCGCAAAGAACAACAACAAAAAATGGTCCTTCTCTTCACAGAGTTTATAATTTAGTAAATCCCCATGAAGGAGCAAAGACCATGGATTGTTCCCAGTACTATGTACTTTCAAACATACTGTTTTACTTTAGCCTCATGTTAGCCTCACAACCTTAAGGAGATAGGTGGTGTCATTCTCTTTTAAACCATTAGGAAACTTGGGCTCAGAAAGCTAAGTTAACATATCTGAAGTCACTCAGTGTTGGGAGACAGAGCTACAGCCAACATCTAAGAAACTAAACTAAATCTCCTCAAAACAAGAAAATGTCCATCTCCAATTTCGGATAGCTACTCTGGTAGTTTGTTCTAAGCTTACTCTGTTGTGAGGAGTCAGTATTATTCAAGTTCTTAAGATATCCTGCTTCTTCAGTGTCTGTGTCCACCAAAAGAGCCAGCTATGTAGTAGACAAACAAAATAATGTTTCCCATCTCTAGAAAGCTAGATGTCATTGCCTTCTTTTTAATTTTTCATTTTATTCCTTCAAATGTTTCAAGTCTTTCATGGAATGCCAGACTTATTTTCACATTTAAGATCTTTTACTCACACTTTAGACCACCAAACAATTTTTATTATTTAACTCAACAGTCTCCTTTGTGCCTTTCTCAATTTCCTTTGCAAAGATGTTTATCTTTATATGTTTACTTAGTAATATTCTAGTAAAAAATAGTTTTTCTCTGCTCCTCCTGGGCAACTAATTTCTGTCTGCAGAAAAACTATTTTTAAATGAATGAGAATGATTTATAAAACTTTTAATCGAATGTAAGTTTTCTGTGATATTAGCTATATGTGTGCTCTGTACTCCAGTGCTGTTACAAAACATGATAGTGGCAGAGACTTCACGTGATATAGCCAGAGCAAATATCTACTTTCCACACTAGTAATTATCTTTGCAGTTACAGTAATGTCTACTATTTCTAGTAAACCAGACATCCAGACATCCAGATGGAAGTAAGTGAAACTGAAGACATAAGCAACGAATTTCTTGCTAATAAGATTTTGTTACTGGAAGGTTTCCTTGTGCCACATGGCTTTGTTTCTGACCATAAGCTAATGAGGGGCAATTCAGCCAAAATAAGAAAAATACCATATTAAAGAAATGCATTCAATGAATGAAATACATCTAGTAAGAAAAGATGTACTTCAAGTGCTAGATCCTCTCAATACATCAAAATGTTTACATGTCTGAGAGAGTTTTTAAGGGCCTAGCAAAACAAAACCATAATTTGGCCTCTGCACCACTCTGTAAAACACATCTTTGTAAAGTATAAGTTGTCAATTTACAAAGACTACCTTGGAAAAGAACAAAAAGGAGGAAAGGTAATGTATTTAAAAACAAAACAGAACATAAAAAGAGACAACATACCTGGCAACATGAGAAAAAGCATCCACAAGGACAGATTCAAATTCTCTAGTGAATTCAGGTCCTTTCCTTTTACTGTTTTGGATGACATCATTTGCTAAGTACAGAAAAGTAAGCTTTCTATTTGATTTGGCTGGAAAAAAAAGGGAAAAAATAGATAATTTAAAACTTACACCAAGGAAATTCCCAATTCCCAATTCTTCTGCCCTAAGCTACTCCTAAAAAAAACATTAAGATAAGCAGTATCTACTTGAGGTCAAGGCGGATATGTTTGAAAAGCAATTTAAAGAACTCTTGATATCTGTAAAAAGGAGAATACAATTTTTGTAAAAAACAAAACAAGAATGAGCCACCTTCATTAATTACTTAACTGGAGTAATTAATTAGTAGTAAAAATGAAGATAATCTAAAGAAAATTCCTAAAGGATAAGCAGTCAATATTCTCTGAAAGACATGTTAAAACCAAGGTTTTCATTTATTCTATTGCAAAGATGAACAGTTCTAACTCACTGTTAATTATCAAATACTGCAGAAAGAAAGACTGAATTAGGTTTCAATTTTAAAATAGAATCCTGTAATTTATGCTCCTAGACTGAGAATTTCTCTTTGAAAATCCCAATAACTATCATCAGTCAATGACATTAACTCTACAATCCAGAGGAATCTCTAGATGCAACAATGGATATTTATCTCAAATACAAATATATATTAATGCTACATTATTATTGAAAATTTACACAGGTTTGAAATCTGGATATGCAAAATTATGGCTCCTACAAAAAACATAATTCTTCTCTCTTGTACATACTAAATGTAGTATTTCCTATTACTCTATATGGTATCATATATTAAACCATAAAAACCTCATGCAATATGTCTGAGTTACAGTTGCTTGGGGGAACATTACTGAATTTCCTGGCTTCTACGCACCTAACTTCTCGATCATAAAGTTACATACATCACTACAATTTTTGGTCCCAGTTTTCTTTCAAAAGAAATAAATATAAACACAATCAGATAGTTCAAAACACTAAGTTTCTCCAATGCCAAAGTACCTGAAAAACTCAAGCAAGCCCTGTCACCCTTTACATACTTGAATAACTACTCCTTGCTGTTTCTCTAGGAAACCACTTGTTTCTTTTGAAATGCACACAGTGTGTATAAATTCTGAAGCATAAGATTCTGACATTTTTAAATGTAGCTACAGAAGAGTAACCAAAGTTAAAAACAAGATTTTTTGAAGTATATTATAGTTTAAACTGATGACAAAGTGTTCATAAACTTAAATATGGATACCCTGAATTGTATTAACCTTCTGGTAATAACCTAATTTTGATGGCCAACTGATGAGAATATTGAAAACCTGGCACTATGTTGCTAAAAAGATATGGTTATGGCAAAAGGCTTTTTTTTTTTTTTTTTTTTTTAAAGCAAACCTTGTTCTGGGAATTTGCAGCAAGTAAAGCTACCAAGTCTATGGCATGAAAGTTAACAGATTCAAAGTAAAACAGAACTTCAACAAAGCAAATCTGACTAAGCTATACAAGTTCCATGTACTTTATGTTTAAAAAACCCCAGAATCCATATTATAAAATGTCAATGTGGACATTCAAGAATGATATATTTTTCAGTATTACAAATATGATAGCTAAGAAGCCAGAGAGCCAAAGTTTCCAGTATCTATGATGTCAATTAATTTTCATCATACTCAAATTTAGCAATTGGGATTTATCTAGGATAAAACATTATCCCTCCACATCCAGCACCCTGAATAGTCAACATAAGCACCATATGTGTAAAGGTGATATGACAAAGCCCGAGAGCACTTAAACGGTCATAACGCATACAACACACACACCCTCCACTCCAGCCCCAGGTGACAGCTCACTTGTTCAGATGTCTTTCCAATATAACGAAACAGATCTTTTCACACCCTACCTATGCCCTTTCCAAACTGGTTGAAATAGTTATTGAGCAAAATTTAAATAACTAGCTGACTAAAAAATTTTCACTTGTTTGGCTGGTTTTCACATCTAGTAACTTTGGGGAAAAGGCCTATGTATTTGCATTCAGGCCAAGATACAAAAACATTACTAAAAAATATTCATCAAAGAGCATTTTACACCAAACTGCTCTATAAAGAAAGGGAGAAGTTCTACCTAGAACAGAGCCCAGAGGGATAAATTAAGAATTATTACTAGAAAATGGAAAGAAAATAACACATCAGTAGTAGTAGTAGTATTCAACCAAGAAAAAGTAATTTTTGTAAGTCTCATTAACATTTGAAGGCAACTCTGAGACAGTCTGTGAACAACTCAGGGAAAATGACTTAACCACAGACAGAAATGTCCCCTTTCAAAGATTCAGGAAGGGCCAGAACCTAAGTGGCTGGTGAATGTGAACAATGGCACAAAATCTTTTCTACTTTAGTGTGGGGGTATTTTCAATTCATGAAGAAAGCCTAGGTATTAGGAATTGTGTCTTGATGCTTGGAAGAGCATCCTCTAGCTCTGCACTGTCCAGTGTGGTAACCACTAGTCACATGAGTAAACACTAGGATTGTGGCTAGCAAAGCTCAGGAATTAAATTTTTTTATTGGATTTATTTAAAACTTTAGTTCATTAGTCACACATTTCAAGTGCTCAATAGCCACCTGGCAAGGGGCTATCTTGCTAGACAGCGCAGACGTAAAACATTTCTATGATAGAGAGTTGTATTAGTGCTATTTGGATCCTTTACGCAACCATGAAAATGATGTCAGAGACCACATTTTAACTCCTGACCTACTTTTTAACTGTGTAACAGGCACCATGCTAAATGCTGTAGGTGTTACAAAGAAACAAGAGGTCTAGTTTCTCCCTCAAACCACAATCTAGTGAAAAAGACATTAACTAGTAAGGATGAAATACAGTAGTCCCTCTGTATCCATGGGAGATTGGTTCCAGGATTCCCCACCCGACTCCACCCAACCCCTGCTCGAATACTAAAATACTAAAATCCACGGTTGCTCAAGTCCCTTATATAAGATGGTTAGTATCTGTATATAATGTAGGCATATCATCCTCTATACTTTAAATCATCTCTAGATTTATACCTGATACAATGTAAATATTATGCAAATAGTTGTTATACTGCATTGTTTAGGGAATAATGAGAAGAAAAAAGGTCTTTAAGTGTTGTTCAGTAAAGATGCAACCAACCATCCTAGGCTTAACTGTACTGTACACGTCAGCAACAGCGTAACTTTTTCTCTGGAATACTTTAGATCCATGGTTAGTTGAATCCAGGGATACAAAACCCACAGACATAGTGAGCCAAATGTAAATGCTAAGTTGATGTGGAATGGGGTATGGGAAGCAGTAATTAATTCTAATAAAAGCACTATAGGTTTGGTTGGAAGGTATGATCACCTTCACTTATTAAGTGCACTGAGGCACTGGGTACTTGAAAGCACGAGTTTTGGTGTCAGCTCTGGGCTCATGTCCCAGCTATATGACGGTGAACAAAGCACTTAATCTCTCTGTATCTTTATCTTCCAATCCAGAAAATGGGGGATAATAATGCTGGCTTACTTAAGGTTCCAGCATATGAGATTAGGGTTAAAGGAGCTGCATAAATGAATGTACTCTCTAAATTGTTTTTTTTTTTTCCCTAGTTCGAACAGGGTGAGGTGGGGAATCAAGAAGGCTTCACAAAAGAAGTGTCATTTGAGATAGATTCTGATCTGTCTCTGAGATTCTACCAGATAGGATACTGTAGAGACGATTCACATTTTTTTCACATCTCAGATGTTGGAAATATCTGAATGGCAGAGTGGGGTACATGAAGGAGGCTCTGGGAGTTCCAGACTCTATATCTGAAATGCCCAGAGGGCTGAGGGCACCCCTATTTCAGTACAGCACATATCCGGGGTACGGGGGCGGGATGTCTCTGCTAGAGGACTAGAACTGAGTCTTCTGAAAGAATCCTGTATTTTAGTGTCTGCCAGCATAATGTAGTCAGAGTCTCACCAGGCCTTAAAAATACCACTTAGCCACTTCGGTGTCCTCATCTGCAAAACAAGGTGGAATCCCTACCTCATAGATAGTAGAGAAACACATGTAAAGTTGTTTCCTATGCTATAAAGGGTCTACCCACATATACGAGCTGTCCACATATACAGACTGTCCTCGGCTTTCTACTATGGGACTCACAGGGGTATCTGATAGTTGTGTAGGTGTACATCTTTCCCCACCAGACCATAAACGACTTGAGAGCAAAGACCACAGCTCACACTGAGTAATCAGTAACCCCATCTCACCATTATTTACCGAAAGCCTACTGTGCCAGACACCGTGCTAGATGTTCACTTAGATCACCCTGTTTACTCCTCACCACAAGTTGTCTGAGCCTCAAATTTTCCTTATCTGCAAATTTTCTACTTTACAGGACTCTGAGAATTAAAAAGACAACGTATGTAAAAATATCAGTACTGCACCTAGCACATAATAAAGGCGCAGTAAATATCAGTTATCATCATCTCCATTTTATAGCTAAGGAAACTGAGGGGTAAAAAGGTTAAGTGGCTAGGGTTGGTAAATGTCACAGTCAGGCTTAAATTGCAGATACTTGGCCTCCGGAGCCAACCTGCTTTCAAGCACCCAACCCAGTGCCTAGCACATAACAGGCTGAGCTCAATGAATGTCAGATCCCGAGTAGGATCTAGAATCAATGACAGTTGCATGAGAAGAGCTTAGGTGGTGTGGCTCCTTAACCTCTCCATACTGGGAGTAACTGTACCCACTTCACAGGGCTGTTCTGAGCACTAAATGCGAGGATATACTGAAAGGTCTTGGCACAGCGACTGGCAAAGAATAAAGGCTCTGTAGGTGGCACCTATCCTTGTCCTCGTTTTACAGATGCGAAAACAGAGGCATAAAGCTGAAGAAATGCCCAATACCTTGCCCAATACCGCTCAGCTAGTAAGTGACTGAGCCAGGACTCGATCTGGAAAGTCTTACTCCACAGTCTGCTGGCTCTTACTCCAAACGCCCAGCAAGGCGCCTGGCACGGCAGTACCCTCCACAAGGTGCTGAACGCTGCCGAGATAATAATAGTCACAAGTGTCAGGAGGAGCCGCAGGGGAAAACGGACTGGATGAACTGGGAGTCTGGGCACTGCAGCCCTAGTCGGTGGAACCTCAAACAAGTACCTTAAACCTAACTGGGACTCAGTTTCCTTCTCCGAGAAATGGGGATAACACTGTCTCCAACCTCAGAAGCGCAATGAGACGTCCGGGCCTGGAAAGCACGGCCCAGCGAAGAAGCTAGAGGGACCTCAGCAGTGGGTGGGGGAGAGGACAACCGGGGAGGGCCTCAGAAGGTGAGGAGAGGGTGTTTACCTTTGCGGAGCTCGCGGTGCCACACCGAGACGATAGGTCCCGCGTGCTTGCGGTGGTGGATGAGCCACAGGGACAGGGTCTGCACGCTCTGCTGAGAGTTGCTCAGCTCCGAGAGCTTCTTCTCCAGTGCCGACTCCGAAAAGGAGGACATGGTGGCGGCGGCGAGGCCCGGCAGGGAGCGGCCTGGGCCGCCCAGTGCGGCGGGAAGAGCGACAGCACGAGGCCGGGGCCTCACCTGACGGCCTGGGGGACTCTTTAGTGACTGACAGACCGCCAGGCAGACAACGCAGGGGGAGGGGATGGGTCTCCGCAGTAACAGCCGCCCGCGCCGCTGCCACAAGATGGCCACCGACCTCTCACCCCGTTGCGAGAGCAGGGTCAAAGGGCAAGGGCCGAAGTATCTGGACACCGGGAGCCGTAAGAGGTATAGAAAAATGCCCCCGCAGTGATGGCGGCCTCTCTAGACGTCGCTCAAGGCACGTCGAAAGCGACAGACCCAGAAAGGAACGCAATTCGGGGACCTACGGAAGGCGCTTAGACCGCCCGCGCCCGCACGCCTGCGCAGTGAGTCTCACCGGAACCCTTTCTCTGGCTCCCGCAGAACCTTTCTGGCGCGGTACGGCGCGGTAGTTAGAGCGTCACTTCCGGCGGGGCGGAGGAGGCGGGAGAGAGAGGGAAAGGCTGGAAGACGAGGTAAGGGAAGAGTGGCGGGAGCAAGAGGGAGTCCGACAACTGGAAGCCCTTAGAGGGGGATCTCGAGACACAGGCAGAGAGCTCATGACCTGGGTATGGGAGGGGGCTTTCTCCCTCACCTGGCAGGTGCCGACCCACACTCTTCCTCTATACACGCCCTGCTCCCTGGTTGCCCTCCCCCAAAAGCTTCTTTTTGGTTCTGCCAAGCCTCCCACGTGCACTTTTCACGCCTCCACGCCTTGGCTCTTGTTGTTCTTTCTCCAAAGGTGACGCCCCCCCCTTCTCACCTGGCGGGCACTCATTAGGTCCAGGACTACCCTTTAATGTCCAGTTCTGACGTTTTGTCTGTGACAGCACTGCCATAAAATAATTTTCTGCTCTTGACTCTTAATAGGTTGCTTTATTCAGAAAAGTACATGCTGCCCTCTGGGAGTTCATTTGACTGTCTCATTTGAGTAATGTTAACTTTTTTGGGAGGTGGAGGCAGAGAAGTCAGTGGGAACGTTGACCTTTAAGAAACACTATTTGAGACTCTGAACCCCTTTCCTATTTTTAAAAAGTTTTAAATTCCAGTTATCAAATCAACAGAGAAATTTGTACTTCTGCTATGGGTGTGGTGGTAGGAATTTAGGTTATCGTAGACATGGAATTTTAAAATTTCCTGATCATCGTGGAACAGTTGTAGGCGTACTGCAGTTAAGAGATAGGCTAGTTAATGCCTGTTTTTGCTCTTACCGCACTGTACTGTAGTTCTTTGCTTAGATGCTTCTACTTCTCCGGACTAGAACCATAATCATAGCCAACATACTGAACAGTTGCTATGAGCTGGACACTGTGTTTTCACATAGTAACTCATTTAATCCTCAGACAAAGCTGTGAGATAGGTATTACATTTGACAAATGAAGAAAAGGTTAGAGGGAAGGGACTGCATCTCATCTATCTTTTTTGCCCCAGCACCTGATCCATAGCTGATTGGGTGAATTAATATAAAAAGAGTGAATAGCCTAAAATCACACAGTTGGTATCTAATTATAATTATAAACTAGGATCTTTGAGTCCAAATCTAAACCATCTTTGTATAGTAAGTAACAGTGACATGTACTGAGCACATCACATACATTCTTTAATGATTACAACAGTGCTAAGAGGTGGGAGTTATTATCACTATTTGATAAATGAGAAAACATAAAACATGGGTTACTTGGACATAGGAAATGACAGAACCAGGAGTCAGATCAAGGTTATCTGATGTCTGATCCCAAGTTCTTCACTCCCGAGCTAGTGTTTCATTCATTCAGCAAATAGTTTTGAGCGTCTATGTCTGAAGCACTATTCTAGGCAAACAGAATCTTTGGAAGCTTACCTTTTACAGATGAAGATAGGTAAACATGCAATTATAAACTGAGTCAGAAAGTGATAAGTGCCTTAAATAAAAGTAAAGGAGGGTAAAGGAGATGAGGAATGTATGTGTGGGCAGAGAAGGCCTCACTGATACAGTGGCATTTGATCAGAGCCCTGAAAGAAATGAAAACAAGCCATGTGCTATGTGTTGGAATGTTGTTCCAGGCAAAAGAAAAACCAAGGACAAAGTCCTGAGGTTAGACTATTTGGAGCATTTTTGAGGAACAGCAAGGAGAACAGTAAGGCTGGAGTGATATGAATCCAAAGGCTAGAAATGAACTCAGAAAAGTAGCCAGAGACCACATCATGGGAAGACTTGTAGGCAATAGTAAGGACTTTGGATATTACTCTGAGTGAAGTGAGAGCCTGTTGGATGGTTTTGAGCAAAGAAGGAGCATTGTGTTAAGTCGAAGATAGTAAGGGTACAAGGATAGAAACAGAAAGACCAGTTTGGCAGCTGTTGTAATAACCCAGGTGAAAGGCTAACTCAGACCAGAGTGGAGGTGGTAAGAAATGGTCAGATACTGGGGATATTTTAGAAGAAGAGGTAACAAGATTTGCTGACAGATTAGATATAAGCTGTAAAAGAAAGAATTTATATGGCCCTCAGGGTTTTAGCTTAAGCAACTGTAAGAATGGATTTTCCATTTACAGAATTGAGGAAAGAGCTGGTTTGAAGAGTAAGAGCAGGAGTTTAGATTTGTACATGTCCAGTTGGAAATGCCTGCATATAGAGATGTCTCGTAGGCAGTTGGATTTATGGGAGAGAACTGGGTTAGAGGTATAAATGTGAGAGTCATAAAAGGGAATAGGTGTAGAAAGAAAAGGCCCAGTGTCTGAGTCCTAGGACACTGCAACTTCTAGCGGTCCAAAAGATGAGGATAATATAATCATGTTTTTTTTTCTCTTTAGCTTGTTAATATTAATTACACTAATTCATTTTCAAATATCGAGCCATCCTTTCATCATGACTTTGTCCTGATATATAATTCTTTTTACATACTGCTGAATTATATTTCCTAATTTTTTATTTAGGATTTTTGCATCTATTTCATGAGAGAAATTGGTCTGCTTTTTGTTTTGTTTTTTGTTTTGTTTTGTATTGTCTTTATTGGGTTTTGGTGGTATCAAGGTGATACTAGCTTCATAAAATAGATTCGAAAATATTTCCTCTTCTTTTTCTAGAAATTGTGTAGAATTGTTGATAATTCTTTAAGTGGTTGGTAGAAGTTCCCAGTAAAACCACCTGGGCCTAGAGATTTCTTTTCTTTTTTCCTTCCTTCTTTCCTTCTTTTCTTTTCTTTTCTTTTTCTTTTGTTTTCAAATGACAAATTCAATTTCCTGAAAAACTATAAGGCTATTCAAATTACCTGTTTCTTATTACGTGAATTATAGTAGTTTGTGTTTTCTGAGGAATTCACTGTTTCATCTAAGTTGTCAAATTTATGTGTGTGAAGTTGTTTGTGGTATTCCTATATTATCCTTTGATGTCCACAGGGTCTGTAGTGCTATCTCATTTCATTATTGATGTTGCTAATTTCTCTCATATCAGTCTTGCCAGAAGTTTGTCCATTTTATTGATCTTTTTAAAGAATCAGTTCTTTGTTTCGCTGATTTTTATCTGTTGCTTTCTGTTTTCAATTTCATTGATTTCTGCTCTGATCTTTATTATACTCTTCTTTCTTGCTTTGGTTTTATCTTGCTCATCTTTTTCAGGGTTCTTGAGGTGAGAGTTTAGAATATTGATTTTTCCCCTTTTCTAACATATGTATTTAGTACTATAAATTTCCCTTTCAGCATGGCTGTAGCGCTGTCCCACAAATTTTGTTGTATATTCATTTTCATTTATTTCCCTGTTTTGGGTTGTTTTTTTTTTTTAATTTCCCTTGAGATTTCCTCTTTGGTCTGTGGATTATTTAGAAACATGTTGCTTAGTTTCCAGGTATTTGGAGATTTTCCTGTTATCTCTGTTAGTGACCTCATTTGATTCCATTGTGGTTGGAGAACACACTCTGTATGATTTCATTTCTTTTAAATTTTTAAATTTGTTGAGGTTTGTTTTATGGTCCAGAATATGATCCATCTCAGTATATGGCCTATAGGCACTGGAAAAGAATGTGTATTCTGCTGTTGTAGGTTGAAGTATTCTGTAAATGTCTATTAGATCTTGTTGGTTAATGGTGTTGTTGAGGTCTTCTGTTATCCTTGCTATTTTTTCTGCCTATCAGTTGTTGAGAGAGGAATGTTGAAGTTACCATCTATACTGTCAGTTTTATCTATTTTTAATGTAATGCAGGGCACTCTTTCACAAGTGTTCTATAGAGCAGCGGTCCCCAACCTTTTTGGCAACAGGGATGAGTGCTCCTATGAGAATCTAACGTCTGATGATCTGAGATAGAGCTGATGCTGGAGAGCGGCTGCAAGTACAGATGAAGCTTCACTTGCTTGCCCTTCACATACCTCCTGCTGTGAGGCCCAGTTCCTAATAGGCCACAGACGGACATTGGTCTGTGGCCCAGAGGTTGGGGACCCCTGCTGTAGAGGACTCTGTAAAGTATGAAGTGAGCCTAGAGTAATTTCTGGAAGGATTTATATGAAAGTCTTGATTCCCTTCATCCACTTTCTGTTTTGTGTACTTCATGTTCTGCAGTACACTCCCCCCTTGCAGGGCTAGACCCTCTAGTTAACTTTGTATCACTAGTCCTTCTGCAAGAGCTTAGCACAGCATATGGCACATAGTATATGCTAAGGGAACATTTCTAGGTAGAAGAAAGGATGAGTAGGAAGCTGCAAAACCTCAGAGTATGCTGTAAGTTTAATGTTTATCCAACTTTTATTCATTTATTAAACAAACAGTGAGTGGGAACTTCTTGGCAGACACTGTACCAGATGCTGAGAAAACCACAATAAAGCTGCAATGCCAAAAATGTATACCAGTTCTATTAGAGAGATACACAAATAAGCCAGTCATTTTAACCCAAGGAAGTAATGTTCCAATGTACAATAAGTACTACTGCCAGATGGATTATTGAACAAGTACCTCTTTCATCACCTGACTCTTGTTCTTCAGAAGACAGGAGTGTGTAGAGTGTATACTACAGGATTCCCACAGCTGGCTGGTCATCAGACTTTGTGAACTTTTTAAAACCTACAACC